GTGACAGCCATTCATCCGTGGGAAGCACAGCCGGGGCGCTGCCTTCAGAGCCGGCTGCCTGGGCTCAAGTCCCCGGTGGACCAGCTGGGCCCCTCGGTCCGTGTCCTGGCCACTGGGGGCCTCAACTTCCCCGCCTGGAACAGGGGACCGTGGACACACGCCAACCTGGCGATAGGAACAGAGTCTCGAGCTGTGGCCCAGGGCGCAGGTCTCGGTGGCACCTGTTTGGTTGTTTGGATCCAGTTTAGAATCTGGGAGGTTTCACCGCTGCTCTTGAAATCGCCTGGTTGGAAGCTCACACCGGCTGACCGCCCGCACCACGAGACACCCTTCGAAGGCCTTGACATGCTATGTTTATTTATTTAATTTAAAAAATGATTTTAGAGAGGAAGAGGGAGAGAGAAACATCCAAGGGAGAGAGACATCGTCAGCTGCCTCCTGCACGCGCCCTGCGGGGGATGGAGTCCACATCCCGGCCTGTGCCCTGACCTGGATCCAGCCAATGACCGTGCCCTGCAGGGGATGAAGCCCAACCAACGGAGCCACACCGGCCAGGGCTGGGGGCGGTTCTCAAATGTCTAGATGGATGAACACACGTCAGACCGCAGTGCAATCATCAATCGCCATGTACGTCTCCAAGGCACCAGCCCTCGCACGTGCTGCGGCCTCCAGTTAGATTTGGGGGGACCAATTCGTGTGTCAGGAGACGCTAAAAGCCAGCGCCGCGTGCCTGGCGCCCCCTTGGCCAGCCTGGCTGAAACGGCGGCTTTTAAGAAGGAAGTTGTTTAACCCTCCAGACGTGGCGCGTGCAGAGGCTGCCCATGCCTGCCAGGGACGTGGGAGTCATCACGCTTCTCAGGGTGGATGCGTTTCTGGGGCTCCCCCCCTCCCCTGCCCGGGCGGTGAGCTCCCCACCCCCCACGGGCGTCAGGGGCTCGCCCAAGTATGTGACACATAATTGCTTTCATGTTCCGCCCGGCACGCGCGCGTCGATGGCCTCGGCGCAGATGTGACAATTCTATTAGGCCCGGTGTCCGCATGGCTGACCTTGCAAATTGAATCCCGGGGGTCAGGCCTTCTGCCTGCGGCTAGATTTCATGTTCCCGGCGCGGGGAGGGCCTGGGCGGTGGGGCTGAGGTTTCGGGGCCCGGGCACCTGTCTGTCCAGTCCTGCCTTCTCCCCCTCCGCTCCCCAGGCAGACAGACGGCCGCCCTGATGCATGGGCCCCGCCCGCCCTGGCGTTTCGAGCCTCCCTGTGTCTGTCTCTGTCTCTCACTCTGTGTGTCTCTTTCTCCTGCCTCTGTTGTCTCTGTCTCTGTCTCTCGCTCACTCCCTCTGCTGTCTCCCGGGCACTCAGCGGGTCTCTGCGCCCAGCTCTCCCACCAGCGTCCCCCCATCTCCAAGCTGTGAGCAAGCGCCTCTCCTGATGGCGGACGGATTTGAGTTGCGGGATTTGAGTTGCGGGCCTGGTGCGCGTCAGACACGAGCTCAGTCTTTGCACTGACGGGAGGCGCTCCGA